TTGCCGCAACATAGATGGAAGTTGAAGTCATTATGTTAAGTGAAATAAGCCAGAACTGAAAGATAAATACTGCATGTTCTCACTCATATGTGGGATCTAAAAAGTTGAGGCCGGGCACAGTGCCTCGTGCCTGTAATCCTAGCACTCTGGGAGGCCGAGGTGGGCGGATTGCTCGAGGTCAGGAATTTGAAACCAGCCTGAGCAAGAGCGAGACCCCGTCTCTACTATAAATAGAAAGAAATTAATTGGCCAACTAATATATATAGAAAAAATTAGCCGGGCATGGTGGCGCATGCCTGTAGTCCCAGCTACTCGGGAGGCTGAGGCAGCAGGATAGCTGAGCCCAGGAATTTGACGTTGTTGCTGTGAGCTAGGCCGACGCCACGGCACTCACCCTAGCCTGGGCAACAAAGTGAGACTCTGTCTCAAAAAAAATAAATAAATAATATAAATAAAAAAATAAAAAGTTGAAATCATGAAGGTAGAAAGTAGAATGATAGTTACCATAGACTGGGAAGGGTGTGTGGGGGGGGTGCGGGAGGGATGCAGAGAGGTAGGTTAATGGGCACAAACATACAGTTAGATAGAATAAGTTCTAACGTTCAATAGTACAGTAGAGTGACTATAGTTAACAATGTATTGTATATTTCAAAATAGCTAGAAGAGAGGATTTGAAATGTTCCCAACACATAGAAGTGATAAACACTTGAGGTGATAGATATCCCAAATACCCTGACTTGATCATTACACATTCTATGCATATAACAAAATATCACATGTATCTTATAAATATATACAAATATTATGTATTAATTAAAAATAACAGAACACTAAAAAGAAAAAAAAGTGAATCTTCTCTCAGAAGAATTCCAAATAATACATGTAGATGCTCCCACCTTGAGGAGGTGGAGCTTAATATCTGCCCTCTCCCCTTTCAGGAGGAGCTAGACATAGTTACTCTCTATGAAAGGATAAAGTAGAGAAAGGGGGAAATAGTAACTTTATAGTGTAGAAATCTGGCAAACACCACCTTAACCAAGTGATAAAAGTTAACATTATTAATGACGTCCTGTGGTTATCATTTATTGTTGATGGGATATGATGAGAAGGGCATTTGACCTCTGTGATATACTTTCCAAAAATCCATAGGTCCAGTCTAGTCATGAAAAAACACCAGACAAACCCAGACTGGGGAGCATCAATGGGTTCATGTCCCAACATCCTTAAGTAGAAGAGCAAGAATGTCCTACTGAAAAACTAAGTGATTGTGCCAACCAGGTGACAACGTCTCACATGGTTGGGAGGCTGTCCTTCAGGATACAGTATGTGCACTAAACCACTTATCAATATGCGGTGCCATATTTTCCCTTAGCCAGAATACCTGGATCTGGGAGCCAAGGGGTAGAAGTGGGAGTTGTGTATCTTTCCATTAACTTTTACCACCAAAAGTAATAGTACTGAGAAGTACCTTGAAATCCCTTGGGTTCCACACATATTCCTTTCTGCTCCTATCTCTATCATCTCTAATATTTTACTTAGGGATGTTTGTTTGTTTCCTATACCTATAACTTTGGACTCTGTAGGTTTAGCGATCTTAGTTCCAAAAGAATGGCCGGGTGTGGTGGCTCATGCCTGTAATCCTAGCACTCTGGCAGGCCAAGGCGGGCAAATCATTTGAGCTCAGGAGTTCGAGACCAGCCTAAGCAAGAGTGAAACCCCGTCTCTATTAAAAATAGAAAGAAATTAGCTGGACAACTAAAAATATACAGAAAAAATTAGCCGAGCATGGTGGCGCATTCCTGTAGTCCCAGCTACCTGAGAGGCTGAGGCAGAAGGATTGCTTGAGCCCAGGAGTTTGAGGTTGCTGTGAGCTAAGCTAATGCCACAGCACTCTGGCCAGGGCAACAAAGTGAGACTGTGTCTCAAAAAAAAAAAAAAAAAGAAGGAATGATTCCACTAGGGTACACTCTACTAGAAGGTAAGACTGTGACATGGCCACTTTAGGTCTCTCTGAACCAACAGCAAAGAAAGGAGTTAATATATGGCTACTATAAATAATATTGATTATCTTTTTCAAAGTTTTAAATTTTTTAATATAGAACACTTCACAAATTTGCATGTCATCCTTGTGCCAAGGCCATGCTAGTCTTCTTTGTATCATTTCAATTTTAGTATATGTGCTGCCAAAGCAAGCGTGATAATATTGATTACCATTACCATGAGGCAATAGGCCTCCTAATAACACAATGGGAGCAGAGAATTTTACTGTACATAGAGGTATGTAAATGTTGGACAATAACTGTACATAAAGGTGTATAAAAATTAGACAGCAATTAATTCCCCATCTGATGTGAAAAAGAAATTTAAAAAATTGGACAGCAATGTTCATGAAAAGGTCAACAATTAAATTTCTTCTTTTGTTTAGAGAAAATGCTTGTCAGTTGTATCTGAATTAATAGCAGGGAATCTGATGAAACAACAGAACAAAAGTTAGCAGCATTTAACCTCTCTTCACCTTTCGGAAGTTTGAAATAAAGACCTGCAGGGTCATTAAGTTCTCTCTGTGGTAGCAGGATGGATGTGGTAGTCTCAACCCATCTATAATAGATGGGTATCTAGTCTAGCCTTAGAAATCTACTCATATGAAGATCGCTCCAAAGCCTCCCTTGGCAGTTCTTAAGTGTTCTTAGAATTTTAATGTTTACTAAATCCAAACCTCATCAACTTATTTCCAAAGCACAGACAATGGCAGGCAGAATCTATTGTAACGATTAGTCACCTGTCTCTCCCTTGCCAGGTTCTCATCTTATATGGGCACTTTCCAATGTCAAACTACTTCCTTTCCTTCTCAGTTGCCAGACTTCTTTCTACTTAGTCTTTCTTACATCAGCTCTGCCTTCTTCTGCTCCCATGCACACCCCAAGTCTCCTTTTCTGGGTACTTGACTCTCAGTCTCCTCTAGACTGAATTGTGGGGGTGCTCCTGATTCCAGTTGCTGGAGTTTGAAACTTTTTTTTTTTTTTTTTTAAGACAGAGTCTCGCTTTGTTGTCCAGGCTAGAGTGAGTGCCGTGGCGTCAGCCTAGCTCACAGCAACCTCAAACTCCTGGGCTCAAGCGATCCTATTGCCTCAGCCTCCCAAGTAGCTGGGACTATAGGCATGCACCACCATGCCCGGCTAATTTTTTTATATATATATATCAGTTGCCCAATTAATTTCTTTCTATTTACAGTAGAGACGGGGTCTTGCTCTTGCTCAGGCTGGTTTTGATGGAGTTTGAAACTTTTTAGTTGCCTGTTTTACTTTTTCTAAAGAGTACTGCATTAGGCATGGTATTAATACTATCTAACACCATATTACTGTCCTGGCTAAGGTAAATTGATGCATGCCACAAATGTTACCTTTGTGAGAAATAACCTAGCTTTGAAACTTTTCACTTAGTGATGCTTATATTACCTATTTAGCCATTTTTATACCATTTCAGCTATGTATTTTTTACTTATGTAGATCGACAAAAAAGACCAAACTGCCCTTAGGATGGTTTGGCCAATGTTCGGTTGGAGAGTTATGAAAAGAGTAATTTGATTTTAAATGTTCCTGCTCTGATCACTCATCCAGCAAACACTCATTACTCATTAATCACCTATTATATTCCAAACACTGGGCCTTTAGCATGAATAAGACTCAGACTTTCTTCCTGGCACTCACCTCCTCAATAGGCAGCCAGGCATTTTGACTAATAATTCTAATAAAATGTATTAACTGCTCTAAGTGTCATAGGAGCACAATGGAAATCAGCTTAGTCCTAAACATTTCCTGAGCTACTTCAGTATGACTGGCAGGAGCTATGCTGAGCAGAGAGAGGAGGTAGGGGGGCTACACAGTTGAACCATATATGGTTCCTACCCTCAGGAGCTCATAACCCGGTGGGGAAGACCAAATGGGGCAAGAGGCCTTACAGTTTACAAAGAGAAAATGCCTGGACTGAGTCTTGCAGGATGAGAAGATAGTGGGCATAGAGAGGTGGAAAAGGGAACTCTTCAGGCAGGGTAACAGCCTACACAAAGACACAGAGGCATAAAGCACTGGGTGTGCTCAAGGAACAATAGCCTTTTACTCAGGAGGGTAAAGTACAAGCCCAGGAGTGGTAAAAGATGAGACCAAAGAGAGACACAGAAGCCATGAATGAGCTGCAGCAGTGATAATATAGACACCTTTGTGTTTTAGAAAGATCACTCAGGTTGTGAGGTGGAGGGTAGGGTTTTTAGCTTGGGCAAATGGGTTGATTTGGTTCCATTTACTAGCTAGAGAACATTGGAGGAGAAGATATGAATCATGCAGGGAATGAGGGAGGAGGTACAGAAAGTTCAGCATGGGGTACATTGAATCTGAAGTTTCTCTGAGACATCAGAGAGGAAGGATTTAGCAGGAGCTTGAATACATTACGTGGTCTATCCAGGCAGATGTCAGGACTGCAGAAGATTTGTGAGTGGGCCGGACCCAGTGGCTCATGCCTGTAATCCTAGCACTTTGGGAGGCTAAAGAGGGAGGATCACTTGAGCCCAGGAGCTTGAGACCAGCCCGAGCCCATCTCTTCAGAAAACAGAAAAATTGCCTGGCATGGTGGCACTTACCTGTAGTCCCAACTACTTAGGAGGCTGAGGCAGGAAAATCGGTTGAGCCCAGGAGTTTGAGGTTGTAATGAGCTGTGATGAGGCCACTGCATTCTAGCTTGGGGGGCAGAGTGAGACCGTAGCTCAAAAATTGTGAGTCATCAGCTTATAAATGGTAGTCAAAACCAGGAAAAGTGATAAGACCAAATATGCTCAAATGTTAAAATATTAATGTATAAAAAGTAATGCCAATTTCTTTATGACAATCTTCTGGTCAATAAAACGAATAACCTAAGTTGCAATAATATAGTTTTCCCCATGGAATTTATTGACGCTTCATTTAGTTTTCCATTTCACTTTTATTCCATTTGAATATTTTTAAATGCAGGAAGAAAGGAATCGTGGAGGTAGTGAGTTCGGGGCAACTTTTCAGTGAAGAAACCTGACAAACACTAACTCAGGTAGGTGATCAGTGTTAACATCATCAGTGATCAGTCACGTTCATGGCATGTACCCTTGATATGGATGGCATCGCCCCTCTGTGGTCTTCCTCCCTAAAAACCTATGACCCCAGTCTAACTATGAGAAAAACATCAGACAAACCCAAAGTGAGGGACATTTGCAAAAAAACCAAAAGCCAAAAAAACCTGGCCAGTACTTCTCAAGGTCATCAAGGACAGTAAAGTAGAGAACTGTCACAGATCAGAAGAGGCTGGAAAAACATGGCAACTAGATATAACATGGCATCCTGAATAGGATCCTGGAACAGAGGGGTTTATAAGAATACTCCGCACTATCTTTGCAACTTTTCTATGAATTTAAAACTATTATAGAATAAAAAGTCTATTTAAACAGATACAGCCAGTAAAACATTTTCTCCCACAGGCTAAAAGAGGCCTTGTGAAATGAAAGTTTCAATAGTTTTGCTCATGTGCCCACTGATGAGTTTAATACAGTGCTTCTCAAACTTTAATGTGCCTTGAATTATCTGGGGATCTTGTTTAAAAGCTAGTTCTGATTCAGTATTCCAGGTGGAGACCTGACAAGCTCCCAGGTGATGCTGAGACTGCTGGCTTGTGGATCTCCTCTTGAGCATCAAGGGTCTAAGCAAAAGATCAACAACTTTTTTCTCTAAAGGGCCAGATATATATTGTAAGCTTTGTGAAATGTATGTCTCTGCTGCAACTGCTCAACTCTGCCATTCTAGAACGAACACAGTCATAGCCAATATGCAAACAAACGGGTATGGTTGTATTCCAATAAAACCACATTTACAGAACAGGGGGCCGACCAGAGTTGACCTGTGAGCTGTAGTTTTCTTCCTCCTGGTTTAATAATATATGTAAAATCAGTATGTCATTCTTGTAATTGACATTCATGAGCTTATCTCCTGAGCGCCCAATAATGCCCTGAGGCAGTATATGGTAATTTCCCCTACCTGCAGACCCACCTCCCCCTACCCACAACCTATATGGTTCCAGGAACAGAGCACCCACTGCCAAGTTCCCACAACAGGACTCAGACCCCAGCTCCAGCTGACTGGCTCCCAAGGAGCATGATTTACAACACATTCATAGACATTTATAGCACATTCATAGACTCATAGACTTTCCTCAAGATTCTGGAATTGAGTCTAGGAGATTCCTGCCTCACTCTGTCTGTCCTTTTAAATGGGGGATATATAAATGTGGAGGTGAGGCTTAATTTTTTACCCAGTGGATTGGGATGCAGAGAAAATTACTAATGAGAAAGAATGAAGGAGATACACAGAGAGATACCAGGGTGAGAGCTGGTAAGAGCCTTCCTAGGTGCTCTAGAGCGCTGCAGTCCCTGGCTCCAGGCCATTTCTGCTACTTCCTGGCCCTGGGGTGTCATGAGATGATCCTTACATAAATTCATTTTTTTATTTTGCTTAAATCTAGTATACTTCTGTTACATGTAAACCACAGTCCTAACAGCATTAGCAAATAATAAGAGAGTACTTCAGTAGAATTCCAATTTGGTAGGATTTTTTTTAAAAAAATCAATTTATAGATCACTGCAGGAGCACATATTTTCATTTGAAACTGGATCTCCCAGAGTATGTGAAATTTCATAAATATTAAATTACATTTGTATCTAATAATCTACATAGTAACAAATCATTTTGTCAGTTCTATAGTAACTCCTAGCCCCTTACTTTAGTAAGGGTTCAGTGGCAGAGGAAAAAAAAACAACTACTGGTTTGTACAAAAAGGGATTTATTGCAAGGTATTAAATGACTTACAATATTAGTAGATAGGCTGAAGAAACTGGCTTGTAAAGGAAGCTCCTGCTCTCTCCAAGAACAGAAAACGTCCAGTAGCCACTAGCTCTGAAATCATGCACCTCTTCCACTTCAGGAAGCTACCTGCCAAATTAGGGAACCATCATCTGCACTTCCAGGTCCAGGCCAAACTGCTCTATGACCACTGGGACCAGAAAGAGAGATGCCTCAAATTCTCCTTCTCTCTTTCCCTGCTTAACTCAGTTTATTTTCAGGTTCTATGTGAATGCATTTGATTGAAGGGAACTAAAAGTCTCATTCAGAACCCTGGTGGCAAAGGAGAGGAGTCTGGGAAATGTAGTTTAAGCTTTTCCATCTCTGCATTGCAGAAAGACACACTATAATGTGACTGGAGCAGATGTTGAGTGAGCCACTCCACAGAATAAGCCACACCCCTAATGCACCACACAGTTGTAAAACAAAAATTATATTTTTGTGGAGAAAATGTAAACATGAGCAAACAAGCAATAACACAGTAGTTCACTGTACTTGTCAGACGGATGCTACATAATTCAGACTTGTCCTGTTTCTGCCAGACAGCGTTTGTTACATATTCATTCCTACTTAGGCAACTGGAATAGCATTTAACATCTGAATGATTATGATGAGTAAAGAGATTTATTCACTCATTCATTCACTCAACAAATACTTTTTTGGGTGCCTGCAGTGTTTGTGCCAGGCATTACTTCTGTGCTGGGCTCTACAGGAAATAGTGGATGTTAAATTTTACCAGGTCAACACTCCCTATGAAAATTCTCTCTTTATCCTGAGACTGAAAGGAGTCACAGGGTCTGTTGACAAAGGCAAATACTAAGCAGTTGCAGTGGTTGATAACCCTTAAATATTTGGCTTTTTGGCAGGGCGAGGTGGCTCATGCCTGTAATCCTAGCACTCTGGGAGGCCCAGGCAGGTGGATCACTCAAGGTCAGGAGTTCGAAACCAGCCTGAGCAAGAGTGAGACCCCGTCTCTACTAAAAATAGAAAGAAAATTAATTGGCCAATGAAAATATATACAAAAAATTAGTCGGGCATGGTGGCACATGCCTGTAGTCCCAGCTACTCAGGAGGCTGAGGCAGAAGGATCGCTTGAGCCAAGGAGTTTGAGGTTGCTGTGAGCCAGGCTGATGCCACGGCACTATAACTCAGGCAACAGAGTGAGACTCTGTCTCAAAAATAAATAAATAAATAAATGAATATTTGGCTTTTTTAACCCCAAAGGTATAAACTTTTGGTCAAAGCATATAATGAAATGTAAGTCAACTACTGCCCTTAAATATGGGGTAAAAAAAGAAGTCTACATTTAAGAATTACTGATTTATGACTGCTATGGTTTGAATGTGTCTCTCAAAGTTCATGTGTTATAAATTTAATCTCTTGTGCAACAGTCTTGGGGTGGGGTAGAGCCTAACAGGAGGTGATTAGGTACTGGGGGCTCTGCTGTCATCAATAGAGTAATGTTGTTATCTCGAGAGCAGGTTGTTATAAAAGTGAGTCTGTCTCTCTTGCTCTCATGTTCACTCTCTTGCTCTTCCACCTTACACCATGAGATGACAAAGCAAGAAGGCCCTTGCCAGATATGAGCTCCTCGATCTTGGACTTCCCAGCCTCTACAACTATAAGAAACAAATCTCTATTCTTTTTAAATTAACCAGTCTGTCCTATTCTATTTGTTATAGCAACACAAAATGGACTAAAACAATGCTAAACCAAAAGGAAGCAAAGAATTGTTCATAAATGTGCTGATTCATTCATTCAGTATTCATTGAAAACCTATTTTATTATATTAGTTATCTATTTCTACATAACTAATTACCCCAGAACTTAGAGGCTTAAAACAACAAAAATCACTTATTATCTCTTAAATATTATATCTCTCACAAGATACAAGTTGGGGGCATAGTTCTCGCTCAGAATCCTTCATGAGGTAGGACTTGAAGCTGAAAATGTTGATGAGCTCACAACCCAGGGAAAGTGTTCAGAGGGAGAAGCACAGGGGACCTAGAGCTTCTGCTTCTCCATATCTACTGGAAGGCTTGAGGAACAGGAATTGAACCAGCTATGGTTCCTGCTACAGAGGGGCTTCCTGTCTGATGGAAGAGATGTATCACTGACCATAGTTACAGATGGACTCAAGCTTTAGTTGGGTCTGCCTGGAACAGTGGACAGGGTTGGCATCCCAGTTGTATATTACTGTGTGATTTGGGGCAGATTACTTAAGCTCTCTGCCTCAGTTTCCTCCTCTGTAAAGCACCCTATACATAATAAATATCAAATAAATGCAGCTACTATTGTCAACATTATTATCATATTTAGGTGGTGGAAAGCCACTGGATGGATTTCGGCAGGAAAGTATCCTGGTCAGATCTGTGTCTTGGTTAGATGGCTTGGGCAGTTTGTGCTCTGTCCCTGCTCTGGGCTAACTCTCCCCCTCACTGAGTTTCCTTCTGGCTGCCCCACAATTGAGCCCCACCAGACCCCTCCAGGTCCCAGCAGCAACTCCACAAACTCTCTCTGTAGGTTTTTGCTATGCTCCTGTGCCTTGGAATCAGCATGAATACTGTTCCTTGTTTCACCGCTGTCCACTTGCATTGTTGCTGCTCAAAGAAACTGATCAGGTTTATTAAGCATGACCTCTCTTTTGTGAGCCCTGCTCAGGGTCTGCTGATCTGTACCTGTCTGCTGCTCTCCTGGCTCTGCTCAATTGGAGAGGCCTCAGCCTCCTCTACTGTGCTGGTGGGGGCAGGGACAGGCGACCGGGTGGCCACATCTTTTGTTGTTTGCAGAGACTAATGCACCGGGCTGGATCAGACAAAAGCAGGATGCTCTGCTATACTGAGCACAAGGCCCTTTGTTGCCATGGCTATGGAAAAAAATAGGAACAAAGAGGATAAACGTTGCATCCAAATATGCTAATAATTAACACTTAGCATCATGGATATAAAAAGCACTTAATGCTAAATTACAATGATCATAATAGCTATTCTTTGTTCAGCCCTACTCCATATGGCTCCATGGCTTGATAGCTAAGTACATGCAAGCTGGAGCCTAACTGCCTGAGCCTAAATCCTGGCTCTGCTATTTACCATCTCTGTGACCTCAAGCCAGTTACTGAAACTCTCCTGTCTCAGACTTTGTCTATAAAACACAAGCACAGCCAATGAACATACACAACCCACAGGGCTACATTAGTTCACACTGTGCTTCTAAAGCACTTAAATATGGCCTACCACATAATAAGCACTCAATCAATATTATATTTTATTTTTATTTTTCCAATGTTATCCTTCAGAAATGATGTATTTTTATATGCTAGATTTAGGACTTTTATACACATTGATCAGCAAAGTTAGACCTCAAAACAAACTGTGACATAGATATTATTATCCTTATTTATAAGTTGAGGAACTCAAGACTCAGAGAGGTTGAGTAACTTTTACAAGGTCACCTAGTAAGAAAGTGGCAGAACCCAATTCTGTCTGACTCTAAAGTCATGTGCATTCTACTACCCCAAGTCACTGTCCTCCATGAGCTCCTGGAAAGATGTCTCACATCAGTGGAATGGCAAATATTTGATGGCTGTCTCACAAATACCTCTTCCCTTTGGTCACAGTTGGAACACACTACATGTTTTCAGATGAAGGACAGAGAATTTCTGTGTACAAGGCAGCTTAATCAATGGTTTTCACCTTCTCCAGCCCTGAATTATTCCTAGGCCCCCAGCCTGCCCTAGAATGTACAAGGCTCAGGTCTCTGGTAGAAAGTACAAGGCCAGCTAGGGAAGGACAGAGATGTGACACAGCTCTGGTGAGGACTTGCTCAAGCTCCACCTGTCTGACGACTTGGCTGGCAGAGTGGAGCCACAGGGGAGTAGAAACTGGCCACAGGGAACAATTCATACCAGGTCCACAGTCTGGGCATGCCTGAGGCCAAGGTGGCCTGGGACAGATTTTGCACCCTAAAAGCTTTTGGACATCACCAAGGAAATGCAGTGAATCTGCACAGCTCAAAGTCCATTGTATTTGGATAGCAGCTTCCTGCCAGAGATCTTAAGATTCCTGAGGGATGTTTATATTTTGTTTTCTAATGTGAAGGAGTCCCAGAGTCCGGTTTATTACACCTCCCATGGAGTGGACATCTATCAGCCAGACCGATGAGTGCCCATCAGGGCTCTGACCCCTGGCCATCCCAGCCAGGCCTCAGTCCATACCTCTATACAATCAACTATCATTTAGTATTTGAAAGCAGCTCGACTCCTAAACGACCTCCAGAGCAAAATAAAACTTAGCCTTACAATATCTCTGGGAAAGAAAGGAGCCTGGCTATATCATGAATTGCAGCCACTCCCTGAGCATGACTCAGGCACAGCCCCCTGTCCCCCCACCCCTCACTTGTTCCTCCAGTTTATGGTGAGCTCCTGGTGACTCCTCCCTGTTCTCCTTCCCTGTCCAAATGTCCATTTGCAATCAGGTAAGAGCTGGCAGGGTCCATCTTGGACTCTGAGAAACACAGCCCTGGCTCCTCAGTGAGGACATAGCCCGGTGTCAGGATAATGGATGTCCCAGGGTATGTCCACACCTAGCTGAAGGCAGCAGAGCCCACTCATGTGTGGACAGGAAAGCTGTCAATGCTATGTGCCCATCCCAACCCCCTCCCACTCAGCACCCCCCCAACCACACCAAGCACTGATCACAGGCCCTCTCCCTCAACTCCTTCTACTCCTTCCAGCACCTGCCTCTTGCTTCCCACTCACATTCCTGGGTTCCCCAATGAAGAACAGAACAGCAGGAAAATGGCCAGGCTGCAGATTCAATGAAAACAGCAGGAACTCTGTAATTGAACAAACATGGGTTTGAATTTTGTCATGTCACTTAACAGCTGTGTGATTTGGGTTGGTCACTTAACCTCTCTGAGTCTCAGTTTTCTCATTTCTGAAAGGGGAATAATCTATACTCTTAGGGTTTCTATGAGGATTAGAAACAACATATATAAGTGTGTTATGCCCAGTCACATTCGCTAAATGGTGGCTATTGCCAGAAAAAGTTGGATCTTTTTATATTCATTGAAAGCGTATATTCTTTTGCTCCCTAAGTTCTTACAACCACCAGGCTGCATACAGGGTCCACCCACCGGTGATGTTGCCGTGAGGGGCTTGGCTGGGTTGGAGCTAAGCACTCTTGCAGGGCCCACATCTTGGTCTGAGGCAGACATGGGGGTTTTGTTCCCTCTGTCTGTGGTTGGGTGACCAAGGCTCCTAATTTCTTGGGATTGTCTCAGTTTTAGCACTGAAAATTCCTTGTCCTTGGAGCACTGAAATTTCAGTCCTGGGAAAACTGGGATGGTTGGTCACCCTATCAAGGCAGCTGGTCAGGGAAGATGAAGAAGGTGTCAAACCTGGCAGAAGAAGCTGGGATTCCCATAATTCTTCCCAGTTTGCTGGATGTATATACCAGGCTGGGCACCACTCAGCCCTCCCTCCCCTCCCCTTCCCTCCCCCCTTCCTTAAGAACTGGTTAAACTAAGGCCAAGGGTGACACCTAGAGATTTCATGAAAAACTGCAGTCTGGGAATCACCCACTTGGACCATAAGGCCTTAGCTGGTTCATTAATAAATATTTATTGAGCTCTCAAGTGCCAACCCTTGTGTTAGGCTCTGGGCATAAGTCTCCAGGGTCTTTGGAGGTATCCTCAGGAGTGAAATGTATGCAGAGACCTAGTGGTTGAGAAACTGTTAGCCAGATCAAGGCAGTAGGGAAAGTATTCCAGGCAAGAGAGAACAGCAAAGACAAATGCTCTGAGTGGGAAGGAACATGAAACTTTCAAGAAACTCATTACAGTATGGGGAAGGGAGATAGTGGTGACAAAAAAAGCTGGAGAGTTTGTCAGTGCCTAATAAGCTATGAGAAAAGTTTCTGTCTTTACCCTAAGAGTGAT